CTGAGGACTACGCTTGCGGCTCTTGGGTTTGCTCCTTCTAGTGCTGACCCGTCGCTGTTTCTGCGCACCGACACTTCTCTGCCGCCGTTCTACATCCTCGTGTACGTCGACGACTTGGTCTTTGCCACAGCGGACACTGCTGGACTCGCCTACGTGAAGTCCGAGCTGCTGAAGAGACACACGTGCACTGACCTGGGTGAACTGCGCAGCTACCTTGGCTTGCAGATCACTCGGGACAGAGCACGCCGCACCATTACCTTGACTCAGTCACACATGGTGCAGCAGGTCCTTCAGCGCTTCGGCTTCACGTACTCCTTGCCTCAGGCCACTCCTCTGCCTACTCGCCACTCACTCTCAGCTCTGCCTTCGGATGAGTCCGTAGAGTCGAGTGGTCCGTATGCAGAGCTTGTTGGCTGCCTCATGTACCTGATGACCTGCACACGACCTGACCTTGCATACCCTCTGAGCATTCTTGCACGCTATGTTGCTCCTGGGAGACACCGACCAGAGCACATGGCTGCAGTGAAGAGGGTATTGCGCTACCTGTGCAGTACGTCGGGTATGGGGCTTGTGCTTGGAGGGCGGAGTCCAGTGGTCCTTACAGGCCACGCGGACGCTTCTTGGGCTGACGACCAGGCTACGCAGCGGTCGTCGCAGGGTTACACCTTCAGCCTTGGTTCCGGCTCTGTCTCGTGGCGGTCTACTCGCTCGTCTTCGGTTCTCGGCTCCAGTTGTGAGGCTGAGATCTACGCCGGGGCCATGGCTGCACAGGAGCTTCGCTGGCTCACCTACCTACTGACTGACCTTGGAGAGCCGCCTCGTTCTCCTCCAGTGCTGTACGTAGACAACAAGGCAATGCTGGCCTTGTGTCGAGAGCGGCGCTTGGAGCACAGAACGAAGCACATTGCTCTCCGCTACTTTCTTGCTCGTGAGCTGCAGCAGCGTGGTCAGTTGCGACTTGCGTACGTGGCCTCTGAGGCCAACACTGCTGATGTGTTCACCAAGGCACTCGCGCCTTGTGACCATCAGCGCTTTTGCACCCAGCTGGGTCTTGTGCCTGTCTTGCCTCACTTGCTCTCCTCTTGACTTTACTTGTACTGTGACATATATATATACCTGCTCTTGCTTGTCTAGTTTTATATATATGTCTGTACTCCTGCTTGTGAACTGGCCTCTGGCCCTGCTCTTGTGCTCGGACTGTGTGGTGACTTTGTGATCCACCTTGCTTTGCTTTGTTTTGCTTGACTGGTCTTGTGACCCCTTGGTCTCCCCCACGTTGCCTATGGGGGTGTGTCAAACATTATATATGTTATGCTTGTGTAGGCTACAGTGGGTTAGTCTATAGGGGGTACACAATCCTAGGGTTTACTACTTGTACTCATTTCGCTGCTAGTCAATTCATTCCTGTTCGTTCAATCTCACATGCAGCGGTATTAAAACTGGCCCGAGATGTTGACCGACGTACAACGATACGTGGCATCGTGTTCCACTTGCCAACTCATGAAATCATCACGGAAGCGGCCGAGAGGACAGCTGCAGCCGATACCACCCCCACAGCGTGCTTGGGAGCAGGTCACGATGGACTTCATCACGGGGTTACCGGCCGGGGCGAGTGGGAACGACACGATTCTGGTAGTCGTCGACCGGCTGACGAAAATGGCACATTTCGCAGCCTGCAAAAAATCGATCACAGCCAAAGAAACTGCTCGACTTTTCATCTCCATCGTCGTTCGAGTGCACGGGATACCATCAGCGATCATCAGCGACCGCGACCCGAAATTCACCAGCAACTTATGGCGGAACCCGTGGCAGCAGTTCGGCACGCGAGTGAAGTTCAGTTCTTCGTACCACCCCGAAACCGACGGACAGACAGAACGGACAAATCAGACCATGGAGCAAATCATCCGAGCCACGTGCGACGACCCGACCACTTGGAAACAACAACTGCCACTCATCGAGTTCGCATACAACAACTCGCCATCCGCCACGACCCAACAGTCACCGTTTTACCTGAACTACGGACAAGACCCGACAGTACCCATGACCTTGAATCCCGACAACCTGGTGCCACGCGCATAATAGTTCGCCGAAATTTTGCAAGCAGCACGGACCAAAACGACCGACGCAGTTAAAAAGGCCAACGTCATCGCTAAACACAACGCCGATCGCCACCGCCGAACTGTCACTTACCAGCCTGATGACATAGTTTTACTCGACACTCAGAACCTCCGCCTACCCATCACCCCAAAACTCGGCCCCCGATATTGCGGACCATTTCGCATCAGCCCCATGATTACGCCCGTCACCGCCCACCTCCTCCTCCGTGCTGACTGGTACGTCAGCCCATCATTCCTCGCCAGCTTGCTTTGCCCTGACGTCCTATCCACCAGCCAACTGCCTCGCAACCTCCCAACCAGCATGACTCGACTGCCGACCGAGCCAATCATCACGACCGAGAAAATTCTGAGCCACCGCGTTCGTGACCCACGGCGAGCTCGAAGGGTGGAGTTCGTGATCTGCTGGAAAGACTGTACGCCCACTGAAGACAGCTGGGTTTCCCTGGACAGAATCGAAAACCACCCAGTTTTCACCGAGTATCTGTGCAGCCGGAATTTCCGAGATGTACACGCGCTTGCTTAAGGAGGACCTCCTTAGGGGAGGGGGTAGTGTAAGGAAATTCCTTTTCCTTACTTCGCGTCCCTGCTCATCGCGTACACCATTTTTCCCGCCAACAGCATCCAACAGTAATCTGTTACCTCTCGCGACACTCGCCTCGACATTGTTCCCGCCACTGTTTTCGGTTGGTAACCCGCGCCCTGGACCTCTGCCTCGACCATTCCCAACCTCGGCGCCAGGCCCGTCGCGCACCCCATTTTCCACCAATGTTACCACTATAGTTTCGCTATATATTCTTCGCTCATTGTACTCTTGTTTCGACAGTGCAAATCTAGCTCGGTCACTCAATTGCACTCGTAACACATGTAGCCTCAAAGTGGTTGTAGACTTACGAGAAAGTGAAAAAGATCCGGTAGAGGAATTAGCCACTCAGAAGGGCAAAACAGGGGTGTTGCGAGAATCGAACTCGCGGCCTCTCGCACCCAAAGCGAGAATCATACCACTAGACCAAACACCCACGGCTTTCTTTGTTTTGCAATTTATAAATTCCGTAAAGTAGCCCACGTAGCAGACATGGCAAGCCCGACATCCTGAGCCATGCCAGTATGCATGGCAAGTGATGCAATTGCATGGCATATGCCAGCCGACATGACGAGCAAGCGAGCTATTGCAGCAAGTGATGACGGCCACAGCAAAAAGCAGAGCTTCTCCGAACGGGTTGCTCTGCTCTCAAACGTTGCCTGGCTTATTCAGGTTCAGGCACTTCAAAATCCTGCCTGTTGCATTCGCAAGCTCCGACCTGCACGATTTCCGGAGGGAGTTTCGAGCACAACGAATCACCGCGACATTTTCACCACACCACGCACCCGCGGCCCGCTCGAGCACCCGCGGCTCGCTCGAACACCCGCGGCTCGCGCAAGCAGTCGCACCGCACTTACGCGCTCGAGCCTCTTGCGCAGACATGGCCGTGAGACTCGCGCCGCGCTATGCGGGGAGGGACGAACCGAGCGGCGACCTCGACGAATGCCCCATTTGTTTCTTGGTAAGAGTCATGGCTTCCGCGTGTCCTGGTACGCGGGCTCGATTTTGCGGCACGGATCATTTTGTGCTTCGAACGACTCCTCGCTCCACCACTCGTGTTTTTTTTTTTACCGTGCCCACCTTGAATGAGGAACATTAATGAATTATTGAATAAATTTATTTTCACCCTTTTCGCCAAAACGCCAAGCGTTTGCTTGTTTTTGTCCCATGCACCCACCTTCCTGCTCCAGTACTATCCCAGCCTCAACACGTCACGATGCTGCAAGAAACGCCTCTGCACAGGTGGGTAATTGCGTACAAAGTTTAGTTGCTCGTAGAGGTGGGTGACTACACAGGTGGGTAATTGCACTGCTGAGCCTCGAGTGTTGGTAGCGCGCCCATGTTTCATAGCATGCCCGGCCGATGTGAAACGCGTTGCAGCATGCACGGGTCTCCTCGCTTTTCTTGCGCTTACACAAACTCAGCTTCATCCCTCTGTTTCCCGTGCACCATCCTATTTTCAGTTCTCGGATTCCCGTGTGTTTCTTATCCTTCTGAGCTTCTTTCAATCTTGCTGATCTCTCCTTCTCACTTTGATAGTGTAGTTTTTTGACGTCTCAAAACTACACTCCTAGTTTCAGTTCTCGTATCCCCGTGTCATTCCTATCCTTCGGAGCTTCTTCTAATGGGCCAATCTCTCCTCCTCGCTTTTGAGGCGCCTCAGAAGTCATCGTTTCTTTTCCTTCACTGCGCTCTCACAAGCAACCATTCTCGCCTGCTCTCCTCTCCTCCTCGCTCACTCTGCCGGGCTCTGCATGAACCCCTTCTCCGGCAGGCAGGCTGCTTTCTACGCATGGCAGCCTCTCTTCACTGTGTCTTCACATCCATTTTCTCCGTCTCTCCGTTGCTCTCCTTTCCTCACACAACTACTTTCTGCCGCTTTCCATTTGCCCCTTGTGATACAGACTGTTTTCTTCGTATGGCAAACTCTACACAATGCGCCCTCCGGTACCTTCTCTGCCTCCCTCGCCTTACATATGTTGTCACTTTCACTACCTCCCCTGACCTAACCTCATCTCACCTCACCGCACCTCACCTCACCTCACCTCACCGAACTGATGGCATCTGGTCATATTCGATCTGATCTGGGCTACTGTGTAGCGCATGTGACAGCACAGCACGCAGTACGTGACACATGCAGCCTTGTGTGACACATGTTTGCCTCCCTCGTCGCCCCTCACTATCACCTCATCCCTCACATCGCAGATGCCCGTTTTGCAACACAGATTGATTCCCCCGGTGGAGCATGTTATAAAACGCATGCCTAAACGATTCCCTGTCGCCCCTCACCTCACCCCTCGCAGCTGTCCCTTTTGCAACACGGATGCATTCTCTGTGGAGCATCGAGGCAAGCGCACAGCAGCGGAGAGACACGCCGACCTGCTGGTGCGCCACCCCCTTTGCTGCTGCTGCTCTTGTTTCTGCTCTTCCTGCTGCTTTTGCGTCTGATTTGCTGCTGGTGTGAGGAGCAGAGGGCAGTGCTGCTGGTGACTGGAGGCGTTTCAGACTCTCACACCCACCACTTTCATCCCATCGTCCCTCCCCCTCTCCTTCCTTCGCCTCCCTGTGGAGCAGGAGGAGCAGAGGGCGGTGGAAGCAATGATAAGAATGCAGGTTGAGGCCGCAGCGGCGCACTCAGCACGGCTGGCTGGGCAAACATCACCAGCAGCAGCAGAAGCAGACACAGCAGCAGAATCAGGGGAAGAAGCAGCAGGAGCAGCATCACCAGCGTTGGCACGGACCGTATCCGCAAGTGACTCGTGAGAGCCTGCACCCTCTTTGCTTCTTTGCGCATAGAATGGCACTGCACCCTCTTTGCCTTCCTTGCCCTTCCGCCCGCCTCCTTTCCCTTTCTGTCTGTTGTCCTTCCTTTGCATTTGGTTCTTCCTGTCACCTCTTTATCCCACCACTTTTTTCGCTTCCTTTGAACTGCTCTCCCTATCTCGCGGTCATCTCTTTTTAACTGATCATGTACCTCTTTCCACTCCTCATCACCTCTACCTCTTCTCACCTCTCCGAACCTCCACCTCTTACCACCTCGTTTACTTACCACCCCCCTCAATTAACACCTCCCTCACACACCACCTGTCTTTCTCTTTCTTTTCTTCCACGAGCGGTGCGGAGGACATGGAAGAAGATGCAGAGGAGCTGATGCTCCTTAGGTACCACCTTCCTCACATACCACCTGTCTGCCTGACTCCCTCTCACCCCTCTGAGCAGAGAGGAGAACATGGAAGAAGATGCAGAGGAGTTGATGCTCAGCCAAGCCATCTGGCTCTCCCTGCAAGTAAGACCTTGCCACTCTCGCACTCCATCCTTTGACTTTTGAGTCGATTCGACTTTTGAGTCAACTCAAAACGAGGTGACTTCTGAGTCGACTCAAATGATGCAGAGGAGTTGATGCTCAGCCAAGCCATCTGGCTCTCCCTGCAAGTAAGACCCTGACACTCTCGCACTCCATCCTTTGAGTGGACTAAATGGCTGTCTGTTTTTACCTGTCTCACCTCTTTACAATCGCTTCTGGCAAGCTGTTCTCCTCATCCTTCCTCTTCTTTGGTCTCCTATGTTGCATCCCTCTCTCCTCTCCCCGCCCCGCCCTCCCAGCAGCAGCAGCAGCAGCACCAGCAGCAGCACCAGCATCATCATCAGCATCATCAGCACCAGTGCCAGCAGCAACACCATCATCAGCATCAGCAGCCAAGGCAGAGGGTCTCGACTGGAACAGCAGCCGGAGGGCAAGTGCCACTGCCGGCACATGTTGCAGCGGAAGGGATAGCACGAGTGAAACCACGATTGTCAGAACGATTGGCAGCTTCGCCATCAGCAGATGAGTTGTATCAGACTTATCGGCAGCCGCAGCCGCCGCCGCAGCAGCAGCAGCAGCAGCATCAGCGGCACGTGCAGCCGTCTTTAACTGCAGCAGCTGCAGAGGCACGAGCAGAGGCACTAAGGGCAGCACGAGAAGCAGCCCGCAGGGAAGAGCAGCAGCGTCGGCTCTTAGAGGAGCAGAGACGTGTAGCAGAGGCACGAGCAGAAGCACGGGCGAAAGAACAACGGGCTGCAGAGAGGGCAGCACGCAGGCAAGAGCAACAGCGCCGGCTTGCAATCGAGCAGAGAGCTTTGGCTGCAGCAGCAGCAGAAGCACGGTCATCAAGACAAGGGACCTGTGCTGCATCTTCATCTGCACCTGCGCGTTCGACTGCACATGTACATGCACGTGCCCATGCACAAGCACATGCAGATGCGTCCCCATCGCTCGCGCCACTGGGAGTGCCTCTGTCAGTGCCGGATGATTTCGAGGAGCAGATGAATCTGGCGGTCGCCCTTTCCCTCATGGAGGCCGAACAGATGGCAGCACTCAGTGGTGGGGGTGCTAGTGGCAGTGGCAGTGGTAGCGAGTGGTAGTGAGTGGTAGTTATGATGACCGTTTCACCGATGGGAGCAGATGAATATGAATCTGGCGGTCGCCCTTTCCCGCATGGAGGCCGAACAGATGGCAGCACTCAGTGGTGATGGTGGTGGTGGTGGGGGTGCTAGTGGCAGTGGCAGTGAGTGGTGTAAAATATAATTTCCGCTACCGTAGCAGATGAGTCTGGTAGTTGTCGTTTCCCTCATTGAGGCCGAACAGAGAGCAGCACTTAATGGGGGTGCCAGTGGCAGTGGCAGTGAGTGGCAGTGAGTGGTAGTGAGTGGTAGTAATGACGACCGTTTCACCGATGGGAGCAGATGAATCTAGCGATTGTCATTTCGCTCATGGAGGTCGAACAGAGGGCAGCACTCAGCGGTGATGGTGGTGGTGGTGGTGGGGGTGCTAGTGGCAGTGGCAGTGAGTGGTAGTAATGACGACCGTTTCACCGATGGGAGCAGATGGGGTCTGGCGATTGCCCTTTCCCTCATGGGGACCGAACAGAGGGCAGCACTCAGTGGTGGTGGTGGGGGTGGTGCTAGTGACAATGATAGTGGTAGTGACTTTGAGAATTCTCAAGTGGTGGTGGTGGGGGAGGTGGTGCTGGTACCTGGCAGTAGCACTGGCAGTGGCAGTGCTAGTGGTGGTCATCTCGTCTCCCATATGGGAGCAGATGAGTCTGACAGTCGCCATTTCCCTCATGGAGGGTGATCAGGACAGGGGGTTTAGTGTAATTATCCACGATCTAGGGTGTGGCTAGGGGTTAGGAGGGAAGGGGAATGAAATAAGGGGAAAGGTAGGGGGGAGGGGAAGTGGCAGCAGTGGGAGTGCGCAGAGCTAATGCAAGCTGGGATGCAGATTGGTAGAAGATGGTGAGGAAACAAGGAAAGGTTCAGAAATGTTTAAAAAGCAACTCGTTTTTCTGTATACTTCCACAATTCGGAGTTCGTGTATTCCAAAGCTGTTGTGAAGATGGATATGAGCTTGGAATTTGGGAGTATAGAGCGTTACAGAGCTTTATATTTCGGTGTAGGAACGACGAACTCCACACGCAAGCGTCTGGAAGTCCGACTTTCCGCGATCGTCGGACCTCGGACTTGGAAGTGTCAACTACAGTTGACTCCAAAATCACCATCCTGTACTGTAATTAACCTATTTCGTTCAAGATTCTCCATTTCATTCCGTAAGTAGACTCGCCCCTGCTCTGCACGAGAGCTCTCTGCGTCTAAGAAAAAGGAAGCAGACGACCGCACGATCTCATGAGCTACCTCATACAAATGTAGACATTCGAGCGAGCAGGGCGGCTATTGTCGCAAAGCTCCGAAATAGGGCGGCATCGAAGAAGCAGAGCAGAGCATAGAGAACATGTGCTTTGAATCAGCCCCTCAGGGTCTTACCCTGGCTGTTTCATTCGCAAGCTCCTACTTACTACGACATCGCGGTTTTTACAAGGGCCAGAAGTCACCGCAAAGGGACAACATTGTGACTTTTCCGTGACAGATTTCCGTCACGGGAAAGTCATGGTTGGAATTTCCAGAGTGCCTGGTCACATTGCTGGTCACGCGGCCGACACCAAAATGTTACCCAAAAGTAACAAAAACCTTATGGTTCCGTTACTGTAAGGATTTACAGAATCCTTACTGGGGCACTCGTTAGCGAGGCCATCCCGAGGGTCACGCGACGAACCTGTCCTTCCTATTTCGTCGCACCGAACCACTCCCGAGTCGCCTCCGCACCAATCGCAAACATCACCGAGCCATCCTCGCCCAACCTCTCCGCCTAGCTAGGACTTCCCCTATTTAGTCGTGCTTTTCTCATTGTATCGGCATTCAATAATTCAGTAATCAGTTGATTCTCGTTATTCGATATTCTGCGCACTCTGCAAGTTCATTCATAACACCTGGTATCAGAGCTACTTTCCTAGCTCACCCCGCTTTTTAGAGTGTAATACCCCTCGGGGGGGGGGACGAGGAAGGATGCCTTGGGGTCCAGGAGTTGCGCAGGCCGGCCAGGAGAACTAGTTAGTTGCTCCTCGCGGCGATGTTTTTACGGGCACTCCTTCGGCACCGCCAGATCCTTGCCTCGAACGGTCGCGATCGACCGTGGCCTCCCTCCCCCCAGGCAACGGGCAGCAGTGGCGGTTGCGATGTTTATGTGAGTAATTTCCGCTGCGATTTCCGACGATTTTCGGAGGTTTATTCGTGTGGCAGCTGGCGTCAGTGGACCTGCGGCGGCATCTGCACGAACGGCCTCGAAGTCGTCATCACGAGTGGCAGTTGACGACGTTGGACCGAGTCAACGGCTGCACGACGATTTCGGGATCGTCCTTACGCGACAACTTGACGTCGGTGGCACACGTCAACTTGTGCGCAAGGTTTTCGGGAGATCCTTCGGCAGTTGGCGACTAGGGACGTGCGTCACTGTGGCGATAATTTCGGAGCTACTGTGGAGAAAAAGTCGGCTGGGGAACTCGCCAGGCGCAAATGGAGTTCTGCGTCCGAAAATGTCGGTGGCGAGGAGAGACGACACTAGACTGCCCGACTTAGCGGGAGTTAACTGCCGTCCCGCCCGACCTGAAGTGCAGCAGCTTTTATTGCATGGCGGGCGCGTCATCGAATATTTCGACAGAAGTGCTCATGGACAGACGGGACTTCAGACTCGCGACACTTACGGGCTGCAACGAAAAGCGGAGTGGCCATATCGCACTTAGCAGAAGTGGGACGCAGGCGGCGAGGGAAATCGAGGCAGGTACACCTCGGAAACAACTCGTACGACACTGCGTGCCTGGTGTTGTTACAAGCTGGCCGGCAGTATCGAGAGCGGTTTCTCCTGACCAGGGAATTCGTTTTCGGGGACAGCTGCTGACATCCCACGATTCAACGGTGTCCAAGGTACCGCCCGACAATTTCGGAGGGGTCGGTACAGGCTGTCGGGACACACGGGCAGAAACGGTCCAACGGCTAAGCGAGGGTTGAAGAACGTCGTGGGGAGCAGATTAAGAGCCGGTGGAATCGATCTGCGGCCCTACTGTCAGAACATATATGTAGCTTATGCTGTTGTGTAGGCTACAGTGGGGTATCCCATAGAGGGTACAACCCAATTAGGGTTTTGCTATTTGTACTCACTTCACTCATAGTTCATTCATTCTCGTTCACACTTTCTCACCTACTTCGCCCGAACCTCATCATCCCCACCAAGTCCTGGTTCTGACTCATGCAGTCAACCTACTTGGCCGAATAACGGGGGTGAACACGTGCATACCCTGTGCTGGTTAAAGGCACCTGGATTGGTGCTTGTTCGAAAGCTGCACAGAAAATACAAAAAAAAGTGGAGTTCGCGGCACTGTTCTACTCCGACAAAAGCGGGCTGGGTGAACGGCACGCGAAAAAGTCGGAGAGCTGCGAGGATAACATCGGTGCAGTTTACAGGTTTCTTTTGACCCGGGCGTCTACACACGAGGTGACGGCGCAGTGGCAAAGCTGAGACCGGGAAGCTGTGGAAATTTCGTGGCGAGATAGGCACGGCGGGCTGCAAAACGGTTGGGCGACAGTTTCCTATTAACTAAGGCTGCCCCGACTCCGATAGTTTTTGCCTCTCCAACGTGGCCGAGTTTGCGCGGGCAACAACGACGATACCTTATGCGACAAAAGCGGAGGCTGGGTGAACGGCGGGAAGCGGAATTGTCGGGGGGTGAACACGAAAAAATTGACGACGGAGGGAAAGTTGTGGGTGATCCAGCAGATCACTTGAGTGAGAGGTTGAGCCCGTGCACCAATCCACCGCGAATTTCGGAGTCTATTCGGTAGACCCCCGAAAGGGTTTGATATTGTTACATGGAGGCGCGGCGAGCGGTACATTGCCAATGATACCTGGGATTCGCT